CTATCTATCTATCTATCTATCTATCTATCTATCTATCTATCTATCTACCCATCTATCTATCTCTTCATTTGTAAATATATATTGGCCCAGATCAGTGATTTCACTAGTGAATGAAGTTTTCTAGTGAAAAAATTTCTGAAAAGAAAAGGTTCTGAAGCTTACGAGTTTAGACCAGGGGTTCCCAAACTTATTTGGCCTACCACCCTCTTATAAAAAAAAAAAAACAAAAACAAAAACTCAGAGCCCTCCCTGGAAGTCTACTTGTTTTAACCCTTTAAGGGTTTTTAAAAAAATTTGCATGATTTCAAAATATAAAATATATATATATATTAAATAACACATCTTACATTTAATAATTTATTGCAAATTTGTGGATTTTTCCTGCATTGAAATTTTGATGACACAATATTGTGTCACATAACTGTATAGTATCATATTGTAAACAAGTCATTACATGTACATATTCCTGCTGATGCATGCTGGACTTCCTGACAATGTGCAACATGCTCACCTGCCAACACTTGCTTGTTAAGACCTGTCAATGGACTTGACCACTGATTGGTTATTACTTGCATTTTGTGTATTTATTTGGAAAATAATGTAATCACTACAACTTTAACTCTGTTACATAAGAGATGAAACATGTACAAACAGGTTTTCAAACTTTTCTCTTCTTTCTTTATGCTTCTCCTACTCCCTTATTTTTTTTCAATGCCCCCAACTGTACCCGAGGCTACTACCACTCCCCTAGATTGTTCCAGCACCCCCAGGGAACCTCTGTGACAGTTGCCTGGGCCACTGAGAGCAATGGGGTACATAGACCATGGATAAGAATGGAATAACCAGCCTATGCTTTATGTATATCTATGCTTAGAAACTTACATGAATTATTGCCAGAATATGTTGGAACATGGACTTGAAGTCACGTTGTCCTGACTCCAAAGTGTCTATTATGCTCTTTATCCATCGTGTACCACCCCATAAACAAATACACATATACACACAATATATACTTCTTGAGAGAAAGGATTTATTTTTATTCCGTCACCTAGAATAGTATCAGGGATATAGTAGTTACTCAATAAATTCTTACTGATAGATTCTATACCTATGTCTATTTGTTTCTTCATTAATGTCCTCCTCTCATGGTTCATTATATCATGGAGGTAACATAGAGCTCTTGAAGGCTATGCCAAAAAGAGACTAACTCAATCAGACCCCATCATGCTGGAATGAGGCAGCTAGGTGGCAAAGTGGATAGAGCACTAGGCCTGGGGTCAGGAAGACCTGGGTTCAAATCTAGCCTCAGATGCTTACTAGCAGTGTGACCCTGGATAAGCTATTTAACCTTGGTTGCCCCAGTTTCCTCATCTGTGTAATGAGCTGCAGAAGGAAATGGCAAACCACTCTGGTATCCTGCCAAGAAAACCCTAAATGGGGGCACAAAGAGCCCAATATGAATGACTGAACAACAACAACATGCTGGAATGGCCTCAGAGTGAACCTGGTAATGGACCACACATCTGCCAGCCAAAGATCAGTCTAGTTAAGTTTCAGAGAGATGCATCATAAGGTTAATTGTGGAGAAATATACTTTTTGACTCTTAAAGACTCTTTAAAAAACTCTTAAAGCCCATCAACCATGTTGTAGAAGGATAATAATCTCCATCAGTAGAGGGAGTCCCTGCCCTAGCCCTTCAATACTGAAGTGAAAGTCTTCTAGAACATATGAACACTGCTTGTGGTGAGATACCAATGAGATTTCCTCAATATGAATGCTAACACTGCCATAAATAAAAGGCACCAAGGTCATCAGAATACATATGGATAGGACAGGAGACTTCCAGTGGCCTCTAGGCATACTTTGGGAAGCATGGCACTAGTTTAGAGAGCTGTTTCATTCATTGAGAGATGGGGTTCCTGATCATATACAGCATCAATCATATATAGTTTAAAACTGTTCACTCAAGTCAAAGGTATAATTTTATTTCAGAGACAAGGTTGTTAACTTGGGATCCATGTATAAATTTTGGAAGGTTTGTGACTTCAGATGGGAAAAAAAATTACTTTTTTATTTTCATTAACTTCTCGTTGAAATTTAGCATTTCCTTCTATTATGAATGTAGGCCCTATTGTTCTGAAAGGGGCTTCCTAGGCTTTATCAGCCTGCCAAAAAAGGTTCTTGACACATACAAAAAGGTTAAGAACTTGTAGTCTAAAAGAAAAAAATGATTTGACATTCTTCAGCTAAATGTTCTGTGTACTTGGGCCAAGATATAGATAGAGTCATGGGAATAACAGAAAAGTATTCAGCACACAGAACAGTTTGTCTTCACACTAATGAGATCCTGGGGTGGGGGCTTCTCTGCTTAATCAAAGTGAAGTATGACCTCAGTGCAGAAAACCTACATTTTGGCAGGGCCAGGGGTTCCCATGGCTAAATACAGGACTTTTTTCAGGGTAATCAAGAATTGTGAAGTGTTTACATTGGATAAGAAACAGGGTATACCTTGCCAGGTCCCACCACCACCACCCACCCCCAAAAGGCTTCCTTTGGATTTAGAATCCACATATCTTTTAAGGCAAGATGAAAAATATATATTTATCTGGCCAATGTGAGCCAAACTTAAAATGTTTTCCAGTCAAAGGCCTTTGACTTCTAGACCTTAAAAAAATTGGTTTTTGTTATTGTTGTTATCAAAGTTGGCCATGAGTTTTCATTTTAGAAAGTGGAAATTTATGTTTTTCTGAAAGTAAATAAAGTCAGACCCAAAGTACTCTGAATCTCAAATCCCTTGGGTTAAAATGGAGTCAAAATTTGACTTAAAAAATATTATCCTCTGATCTCTTACTTAATTATCCATCATCGACTTAGTGGAAAAACACCATTTGTTTTGTTTTATTGAAGAAGAAACTTGTTCTAAAAGCCACAGGCTCAATCTGGGGCAAAACCAACCTGAGAAATGAGAAGGTAGAAATCCCCTGCCTAATCTTAGGCCACTCTACCTCTTACTAAGAGGCAGAATCCAATTTAAATCATTCTGAATACTACAGGGTTTCTTCATCCTAATTAAATAGCCCGTGGTATATGTGTCTGGTTCTGATTTGGTATGAGTACTACTTTTATTCGAGTTTCCAGTCTTTTAAGCATTGCTTGCTATGCTTTACAGAACAAATCAAAGAAACCCTGAATTCTGCTTTGGCTGCCACTAAGCGGCCAGCCTTTTTTGAAGTCTGTGAGAATTATTTTAAATTGCTTTATTTCTTGCCATTATGCGTCCCATTTACTTATCCTAAGCAGCTTTTAAAGCTGGTGTTGTTGTTTTTATTTTTTTTTTTTTTGTTAAGCAGAGGAAAACCTAACCATTTTCTGTCTCATACCTTTACTTTCCAAAAGAAAAAGAAAACAAATCTTATAACTAACTTACAACAGAAATAATTTTCTAAAGAAGCATGAACCCGGAGGAAATGAACTCATGGAATGTTTTTTAGCCTTTAAATGCATTAAGATGTCGTCTACTGAGGCCTCACAGGGTAATTGGCATAAATTCACGGGAGCAATCTAAGATGCCACCTTGCTCCTTGTATCATATAAAGTTTACATGGGCTCACTCCAGGGTACACAGATTCAAACCACTAGCTTGATATTCTCTGTTTATCACATTAAAAATATATAAGAACTATGCTTTCCTCAGTACAGATAGCTCCTAGTGATACACTCCTTCCAGTGCAGAGAGGTATCTACCCTTCAACTTTATAGTCTCAGAGGGTTGCCTGAGGCACTGTGAGGTTAAAGGCTTTGCCAAAGAGTCACGTTATAATTTAGGGCTATTTGAGCATACCCCACTTTGGCCTTAACCTGCTCACTAGATTGTAAACTGCTTTATTGCAGACAGTGGGTGATTGATCAAGCTTTGCTAAATTGAATTCAATTTTATAGGGAAAAATATGTAATTTCAGAAGCTTTGCCTTTTCTTTTTTTTGGTTTAGGGTTTTTGAAGGAAGGCAATATCCCATTGCAAATGGAGACATTAACAATAGTAATAATAATAAATAATAACTAGCATTTCTGCAGTGCTTTAAGGTTTGCGAAGCATTTTACATACTCTCACTTAATCCTCTCAACAACCCTGTGAGGAAAGTAGTATTTTTACGCTCATTTTATACATGAGAAAACTGAATCTGAAAGAGGTTTAATAACTTACACAGGTCACATAGCTAGTATATGTGTGAAGTAGGATTAAAACTTCTGTCTTCTTGTTTCCAAGTCCAGCACTCTATCCACTAGGCCATCTACCTGCCTGAGTCAGCGCTGAGTCGGGCTAGTAAGGGGAGAGGAATCTGCATTTCCGTAGCACCAGCTTAGTGCCAGGCACGGCGCTAGAACAGACCCTTTGTCCACAGCAGCAAGTATCAAAACATCCTGATCCAACAGGGGCTCACAGGTTCGTTTACTTTGTTTTCCTAAATTAGGTGGTAAGTGTGGGAGGAATGACTTTCCACAACAAACCCTGGCACAAGGACTGCTTTCTGTGCTCTCGCTGCAAGAAAAAGCTGTATGGAGAAAATTTTTTTTCAAGGGATGATGATCCATTTTGCCAAGATTGCTATGCCGACCTTTACGCTCTGAAATGTGATGCATGCGACAAACCCATCACTGGTAGGTTTCTCCGTATTTTTACGTAGCCCTTTCGTAGGCAGGCTGCTTTCACTTTAGTGAGATGCACACAAAAGAAAAAGTTAGCTGATTTTATTTATACAGCAGAAAAGCCTAATAATACTCAATATGCAGCACTTTGGTCTAGCATAAGCATTTATAAATAAGCATTTATTGAGCACAATAAAACACCCAGCAGAAAGATATGGCCTTTCCCTGCAAGGAACTTTTTAGATTTGCTGGGGAAAAAATGATCAGCAGAATATAAGCTTCTTAAAGGCCGGAACTGTTTCATTTTTATCTTTTTCTTCCTAGGACCTAATACAATATTTTGCCCATAGTAGTTGCCTATTGAAGTGAATGGCAGTTAAGGAGTCAGAAGTCAAAAAGCATTTATTAAGTGCTTATTATGTACCAGGGAAGGGAATAAGCATTTATATAGAACCTGTGTACTAAGCACCTTTTTTTGTTTTTGTTTTTGTTTTTAACAAATATCTCACTTGATCCTCACAAGATGGCTATGAGGTAGGTGCTCTTATTGTCATAATTTTACACTTGAGGAAACTGAGGCAAACAGAGGTTAAATAACTTCTCCAGAGGTACACATCTAGCGTTCGAGGTCAGATTTGGACTCAGGTCTTCCTAACTTCAGGCTCAGTGCTGTATCCGCTGTACCATCACTTGCCTCAGTGCCAGTTATTATGCTAAGCCCTCACAACACAAGAAAGGGTAAAAATAGGTATAAACTACAGACATTAAGGAGGGTTTCATAAATGAGATGGGATGTGAGTTAAGTCCTAAAGGATCCTAGATCTCAAACTAGGAAAGACCTCAGATGTTTTCTAGGTAAATCACCTCATTTTATACATAAGGAAACCGAGGCCCAGAAAGGTTAAGTTACTTGTCCAAGGTCGCACAGTAAGTATCAGTAGCAAAATTTGAACCCAAGTTTTCTGATTCCGGAGCTGGGTACTTTCTGCTGTATCATACTACTTTCCAGAATTCTTTTAGAATGCCTAACTCAGCTCAAATATCCCTCCTACAAGAGGCCTAACCTATTCCCTTGTTTGCTAAAGCCTGATACTCTATAAATTGCTTTTGGATTTACTTTGTGTGTATTTGGTATTTACTTATCTGTATAAAAGTCTTTTCTCTTCCAATAAAAGGTAACCCCCTTGAAGGTAGAAACTGCTTCTTTTTTTACCTTTGTATCCCATCAGTTAGTCTAGTGTCTGGCACTTAATTAATGCTTGTTGAATGAATGAATGAATAAGTGAAATGGAATAAGCAAAATGTGGAAGGCCTGAGGAGAGGCAGTATTTATAAATGAGAATCTAAAATGATTGTCTACTAGGCCCATGCAACCTTCAAAAGGCAATGGTTTAATTAAATGCAAGTATTGATATGAATAACCCAGCGTGGTAATCATGTGGGTCACACAGGTCAGACATTCATTAATCAGAATTTAAAATCCTGCTAACAAGTATGGTATTCTATTTTCTCTCTGTTCACTTGAAATGAGTTTTAATTAAGAATTAGCCATAAACCCACAAGATAGGCTTCTACTAAAGAAACAAAATGCCTGTAAAATAATCTGAAAATAACCTAAATGGTAAATTGATCCATGTTAAATAGATTTCCATGAATAAATTAAACATTACCTTTCCCTCAGAGAGCTGGCTGAATTGTTAATCATAGACCAGGAGAACCACAGATTGTGAGACACCTGCTCAGGTACACACAAAACAGCAGCTCATCTTGAAAGCAATTTATGAACACTTTTAGCAATGTAGCAGAACCATATTTCTAATCCCTACTCCCTTACTACACAGGCTCCTGGAGCCTACTGCAGTTTCCAAGATTAATATTTGTATATTATACTCAATTTTATTCACTCTGCTTTGGTGGCATATGATTAAAGAATCACAGTCCCCACACTTCTGTATTTTTTTTTCTTCCACCTCCAAACTCAAGGGCATTAGGAAATACCAAGCACACATTCCACCATCCACCTTGACAAAGGAAAGAAAGTCATCCATGACTTTCTTACATGGCTTCTAACCCGTGTAACTTGCCTGGGGTTCAGTTTCTTCATTTGAATGTAAAATGGAGTGGACCAGAAAGATTCTAAGATCTCTTGTAGGTCTAAATCTATGAATGTATGATTCTAACACACTTGCCTTCCTTGGACTGGAAAAGGGAGAGAGAAGAGTACCTTTATATACATGTATGAATCATCCCAGGCCTCAACGTAGCAGTCTAACATTCAACCTCAAACCTTATTGGAGGACACTGGAAGGGGGCAAAGCCTGTAAGAAGGCATGCCTAAAATTCTTCCAAGGGCTGCTTGATAATCCTCTCCCTACAGCTTGCCACCAGGTGACTCCTTCTTATGTACTTACTGTCTACTTTGCACATTTTGGAAGGGGGGGTGTGGGTAGCTACTTTTAGTGCCTTCTAACTATAAAAGGAAGAATCACTTGGATTGCTAGTGATCTCTAAATAGGAGTGTTCAATGGGTCCCAAGACATGTACTTTTTTTTTTTTAATTCTTAGCCTTAGTATGGTTTAATGATCTCTAGACATCTGGGTAAGAAAAAGAAATCAGTCAAATGTTTTCCAGATATTTCTAAATACACAGATGTTTGAAATGATGAGAATAAAATACCAGTAACTTTTTTTTTTCCATCTGAATCTGTGGTAGTTACAGCAAGGTGACCCTGGAGCTACATTACAACCATCATTAACCAAAATGACTGGGCACCCATGTGCCTGTTGGGTCTATTATATGATAATGTTCTAATATAGAAAATAAACATCCTTAAGGTCCTCAAGTTATATGTAAAAGAAGCACATGTGAATTGAGTGCCAAAGTATGATATTCGATCATCATCTGTCTGAAATGTTTGAAAATAGACACACAGAACCCAGGTTGGTGGAAACAGACGATCTGGGCATGTATAGAAGATATGTTAAATAACACACCAATTCATGCATTAAACCAGAGTCACTATTACAAATAATCCCTTTAAAAAGGTTATGTAGAGAGGATTCTGGGAAGATGGCAGAGTAGGTCAGAAAATTTCAAGTTCTCAAGATTTTCCTCCACAAAAGAGATTAAAATAGCTCCCCTGGGCCAACATAGAGCTCTGAAAACAAATAAGAGTAGAGACAGAAGAGGGGTCCTCCTGGGACAATTGGAGAAGATCTGAAGAAAAATCCTGGACAAGATTTCCTCCCAGGGAAGAGTAAACACCTCCAGGCTAGGGTCAGCTTTAACAATAAGGGACAAGCCGCTTAAACAACAAGCCACAAGCCATGGGGTTAGCTGGTTTGGGAGGCTGCCTCGGCCCCAGCCACAGGAACTTTTACCCCAGGGACAGTAAGGGGAGTTGGGCATCTGATCTGGGAAAGATTGAGGGAACCTCTGCTGACCAGGAAAGCCAGACCCAGCTGTGCTGCAGAGAGGAGGTGGGGGCAAGAAGCAACCAGCACATGCTCATTGAGTGCAGAAGCGGTGAGGTGGGGGCGCCTCTACTGTGGGCGTTTATAGGAGGCTGGAGGTCTTGGTTTGAGTTCAAGGTCAGAAGGGTGAATTGAAGAGGATTAGCGGCACCATCCCCCATACCCCAGGACTAGCAGTGATTATAAAAACGGAATGAAAAAATAGAAGAGAATGTGAAACATCTTATAAGAAAAACAACGGATCTAGAGAACAGATCAAAAGGAGAAAATATAAGAATAATTGGACTACCTGAAAGTTATGACTAAAAAAAAAAAAAAGAATCTTGGGGCAGCTAGGTGGCATAGTGGATAGAGCTCTGGCCTTGGAGTCAGGAAGACCTGAATTCAAATCCAGCTTCAGACACTTCACACTTACTAGCTGTGTGACCCTGGGCAAGTCACTTAACTCCAATTGCCTCATCAAAAAGAAAAAAAAAGAATCTTGATACAATAATACAAGAAATAATTAAAGAAAATTGTCCTGAAGCATTAGAACAAGAGGGGAGAGTAGAAATAGAAAAAATCCACAGATCACCACCTGAAAGAAATCCTATGAAGAAAACTCATAGGAATATAATAGTCAAATGTCGAAACCCCCAGATCAAGGATAAAATATTACAAACAACAAGAAAAAAACTTTACATACGGTGGTACCACAAGTAGAATCACACAAAACCTAACAGTAGTGACACTAAAATATCACAGGTCTTGGAACACTGTATATCAAAGAGCAAAAGAACTGGGCTTTTGGCCAAAAATATCATACCCAGCAAAGCTAAGCATAATTCTGAATGAAAAAAAATAAATGGACATTTGATCAATTGTCAGACTTTTAGGACTTTGTTAAAACAAACAAACAAACAAAAAAAAACAACTCTGAACTCAATAGAATATTTAACATGACCAATTACAGGGGACTAAAGTATAGAATGTTCACATTTTACGTATGAAAAATGTAAAACCTATGTCTAAGATTGTTATTAGTAATTAGGTCACTCATAAGGAAGATTGAGGTAGACCTGAGTATGATACGACTTCAAAAAGTAAAACCACTCAAGTACAGCTAAAAGAGTAATTCTCTTTTACAAATGAGGTGCAAAAGGAAGAACCAATACAGAGGAATTAGATGGGGGAGGGGGGGTGTTAGTTCTGGAAACCTACTCTCATTGGGAATGGGTTTAAGAGGGGAAAATACATATACATTTAGAAGAGTATGAAAGTCTTCTAAATTTAGAAAGAAATAAAACTCTAAGGGGATAGGGAGGGGGGAAAGGATAAAGAAGGGATCTTTAGAGGTGAGGGTGTAGGAATAGGTTAGAAGGGGGATTAGATTGAGGGGAATGGGACGATAAGGGAAGGACTGCTGGAGTGGGGGTAGGTTAAGTAATAGCCTCCCGAGGGTAAGGTAGTAGGTAGAAGTAAAGTAGAGGAGTTAGAAGAGATAGGAAAAGAAGAGATATGCACAAACATAAAACCAAAGATTAGGAATAGAATCTCTT